TATCGGTGATACTTAAGTTACTGTGACTTGTGAAGCAGGTGTATTGGTGATACTTAAGTTACTGTGACTTGTGAAGCAGACGTGTCGGTGATACTTAAGTTACTGTGACTTGTGAAGCAGATGTATCGGTGATACTTAAGTTACTGTGACTTGTGAAGCAGGTGTATTGGTGATACTTAAGTTACTGTGACTTGTGAAGCAGACGTGTCGGTGATACTTAAGTTACTGTGACTTGTGAAGCAGATGTATCGGTGATACTTAAGTTACTGTGACTTGTGAAGCAGGTGTATTGGTGATACTTAAGTTACTGTGACTTGTGAAGCAGACGTGTCGGTGATACTTAAGTTACTGTGACTTGTGAAGCAGATGTATCGGTGATACTTAAGTTACTGTGACTTGTGAAGCAGATGTATCGGTGATACTTAAGTTACTGTGACTTGTGAAGCAGGTGTATTGGTGATACTTAATTTACTGTGACTTATGAAGCGGTTGTATCGGTGATACTTAAATTACTGTGACGTACCGATTATAAACTAGTTGAGTATTATTGTTTTGTTTTGTTTGGAATCGTTATGTAAATACTTTAACTGGAGACTTTTTGTAGCATCCGTACATACTGCTATGACATATTTTTCACTAAAGTTTTCCTTGAAACTCAGATTCTACGCCGTCAGTCCAACTCGGTGTTTTAGCAAAACACCGAGAAAAATGTGCAAAATTAAAAACATCAAAGAACCGAAATTGTGTGTGTGGCGAGTCACTTACAGACTAAAGAAACGCGTGTAAAATAGCTACCCTGCAAATGTGAGGTTCTAGATCTACGGGCACGTGTAAATAGCTACGATTTCCTTGCAAATGTCGGCATAGTTCTAAATCTACAATCACTTGATAGGTATTTGTCCCACATTTAAAAACAAATAGCGCTACTCTCACTTCTAAGATATCTCTTGGTGACTGGAGAGGTGTGTGACCGATCTTTCTGAAGAGTTTAATTTAAAAAACGATCTAGGGCCAAAGTACTCTGCATTTCCAAGAAAGGACTTTTTAGTGTTCTTCATGGAAGTAGAAAAAATCATAGCACAGCGTTTAGGACAGTACTGGCTCTTCTTAACCACACTCCATGACAATCATGACCAACGCCCTCATCTGCAAAATGAAAACTGTATTTGTGAAAGAAATCCCTCCGATCTAAAAGGAATACAGTAAAGCTGGACATACCTGTTTGTATTGTTAATATAATAATAATAAAAAATTGAAGTTGGCGAAGTCTTGCAAGAGAAAAGCTTCCAGCTCCACCTCTTATTAAGAAATGGAGTTTCCATGACGAAAGTAGCCGAAAACAATTTGGATCGCAGCGATTCTCTTCGACTGAACGACTGTCAAAGCCACCAGTGCGGCACTAATGGATATTTGTGACTTTGCTTAAGCTTCCACTTGGAAATCGTAGGCTTAAGACGCTAGCCGGTTTATGAAAGTCGCAGTGAAAGAAGAGGAGGACATTGACATGGCCATTCTCTGAAGAAGCCTTATCTCATAGAAATATGGTTGCAAGACTATTGTTACGAAGCAGGGAAGCGAATAGATCATTACCGTAGGGGAAAGGACGGTCTACAGTAGTAAAATGTCGAACATTGTGTCCCAAAAGTATGCATGTTCTTCCGTGTATAATACTGCCATCACTTTTGTATACTGTCAAGTGAATAAAAACAATGTTAGAATACAACAGAGTAGTTCGTCGATAGTCTTAATTATTTTCAAAGACCACTCGGTCTTTATTTTGAAATCTATAATAAACACTAAAATGAACAGAGTCTCGTAGTGTAGCATGCAACTTTTAGGGCTTCAGCTTACTCATACACTCACTAGGTGTAGAGTTCTGTTTCAAGTAGAAGCTTGACATCAATTCATCCTTTCTACCTAAGCATGTTTATGGTTTCCTGATTGTTATGTACTTCGTATTATTTATTTGTTTACAAATGTATGTGTGTGTGTGTGTATATATATATATATATAGAAGGGGGTATATGTTGTCAAATATATTGAATTGATTTATGTATATGACTGGGCTAACGTATACAAATGATTATTTTGCAAGATTTAAATATATTTTCAAGGGTAAGTGTCCAGAAAATACATATAATTAAACAGCAGTGTTCTCGTTAAATATAAATATTTAGAGGAATACACGTGCATGCCCTGATCTGCAGGATTTAGGGGTAAAGGGGGAAAAAAACAACGTTTAAACTAGTTTTCAGCGTGCCACGACTTCAGGTTAAGATATTGACTGTTACCTGCATGGCTAATAAGATCTCGTGGCGTTATTACGATTCTATTGATTTTTTGTGTTCATCGTGATAGTTTTCAGATATAAATTAATAAAATATATATTTATTTATTTGACTTTTCATAGTTAAATCTGAATGTTATAAAATGTTGTAGACATATATAGACACTAGTACGCCGTACTTTATGGTTGTGTAAATATGCTCTCGTCAGTTGTGATCAACACGAAGCCATTAGCAAAAAGAAGTGAAACTGGTATTGTTACAGTTGGTCCGAAGGCAAGAACATTGGAACTTTTCTGAGTGATTTTGTAGGAAAAAAGTTATTAAATTATCAAATTACTGCTGTAGTAACATAATGGTTAATGATATTTTATATTATAGGCCTTTTTTATACTTGTCTAATTCTGACTTTTAGTAACGCTGTTTATCATGCAATCTCTTCGGATGATATTCAGCTGAAAGATTTACAAAATCTCAAAGAACCTGTTTATTTTGTACGTTATTAGTAAATGATACCAGGAAAACGATTAAAAAAAACTTAACCATTTCAAACAGATCATAAGTTAAATAAGTTTTGTTTTTTACGATGGGGTGTCCACTTTTTACATCCCTTTTCACTCGCGTCACTACTGTTACTCCCACCCCCTTACTTCTTGTTGGAGAACTAATAATAAAATGTTTATTTTTTTCTTCAATATATTTTTTTTTAATACCTACCTGTCTAGAACGCATTTCTCATTGATATCATATAACGTACTCGGCCGAAGAAGAGTTTTTACTATTATTATTGTACTTACTAAAAGAATGGCAAAACTCAACAAATATTAAATTTAAAAAATATATATACATATCCAACAGATGTTGGTTCATTCGATTTCCCCATCCATTCTAAACCAGGACGTTATTGATGCACGAATCCCAACAAAAGCGTCATTTCCTAACATGGACTATAAGTGAGAATTTTTTTTTTTTCTAGGCTATCTAGGCTGTAGTATTATTATGATGTAGTTATTAACGATTGCTCAAAAATATGCCAATCACTATGTATAGCTCAGATCTAAACAGTAACTTTTAAGCTAATGAAACAAATTTTATATAATAAAACTAACTATAAGTACATAATATCATGCGTCAATGCAAGGAATCTAAAACCTGTACTAACTTAGAATGCTTTGAGTCATCTGTTAGCGATATTTTCAGCTGTAAACACAATAATAGGAAATTTAGGTTTAGCTTAGTCCGAAATTTATATACTAAGATGACTGCAATACAATCTCTATGTGTATAAACGTTAATTATAACAAAGTAAAA